ATTTTTTTTCTCCTCATTAGAATGGCTTGCAGTTGTCTTTTTAGTATCTTCTTTAGTACCTCCCACCCACCTGAAGCCTTTTAACTTCTGCCGTGGGATCCTAGCTGTAATTGTTCTGAGTTTATTGAAATTTGGTTATTTGATGTCTAAAATACAGGTTTTACTGTGCTCAGTTTTAATTTTGCTTAACGACAAAACCTTCAGCTTTTACGTAGTCATTTTCCTGCAGTGTTCCTGCTACTTCCACTTCCTCAGCTAAGCCTTCCTTTCCATAGAACTGTCTTTTGCAAATAATAACAACAATCTGCCAAGTAACCTCTTCCTCAGATTGTTAACTATGTACTTGGTCCATAGCTCAATAGTATCATATGAACTGTTTATAAAAGGTCCTGGGTTCAATCCTTGGCAAGTCTAATAAAACTGAAGTATAGTTGAAATTCTAAACAGCTACTGCTGGTCAATAAACTATGGAGTAATTGTAATTTGGTGCAAAGCAACTTCCTTTGTCCCAGAACTAAACATGAGTACTAAAAGGAAGACATTATTTTCCTTCCAGTCTGCCTTCTGGCTGTGTTAAGTAATTCTGTTTTTAAGACCAGCTTCCTAAGCTATAGTAACTTTAAATTCCAGTTGTTGCTTTTTTTATTTAAGAGCTGGATCCTTACATAGTGCTAAGCTATAATATGTTTGATTTGGTTTTGGCTTGGTATGTTCTATTCAACAACTAATCCAAATCGTCTGAAACAATATGAATTATGATAGAAAATGTATTTCTTGATTAAGCGTAAAAATAAAAGAATATTCTTTAAAGCTCATAGATTGTTCTGTGTTATGATTTAGGTGTTCTGAATTACAAATGCATTGACTTTTTTTTTTTTTTTTTAATGGCTTGGCTTTCAGGTCCTGGAGTTCAAATAAATAGCTATTTCCAGCAAGAGTTTCCTAGTTTGCAGGCAGCGGGAGATCAAGAAAAGGGAAATAAAGAAAAGGATGCAGCTGAAGAGCCTTATGGTCCTGGGCCAAGTTTGCGTCCACAAAGTAGGTGTACATAAAATAGCCTAAGGTTACAGTGGTTGTGGAGCCCCTGTTGAGTTTTTGCATGTTGGGGAGTATTGTTTTGGTCTGGAGAATTATGTGGTTTTTAATGTGTTTTTTGATCTATGTACTAGACTTACTGTATGCCACCCCAAGTCTTCTTAGAGTTGAATAGCCTTAACAAATCCAATGAGTAAATTTAAAAATTATTTATAGAATTCAGTGTTAATTCACATTTGATCCGTGTGAAAATTAATTTGCAAATGATATCCTGGGAATCATTGCTATATCAATCTAGGGTTGAGAGCTTTAATCTATTTGCTTTCATTAGTTGAAATCTCATTTGCAAATTAAGATTGCCTCTCTTATTTTCAGTTAATCAGTTAATTGGTAAAAGAGATACTTAGATGATCACATTCCCTATTCTGTGTCATAGGTTTTATTATCATTACGGTTGTGATGGTTGGTATTTCCTTTTAACACAAAACAAGCCAAATTAGCAAGGATGAGCAGGACAACTTATTAATCATCTGAACTTTTGCAACCTAGATATTGTAACCATATCCGTGGCACAGTTTATTGGCACAGTTCAGACTTCATGCCAAACAATTTGTGTTCTTCAGAGTTTAACTGAAAATATTTAAACATTTAAAGTGTAGTCTGGAATCCATCTGTTCAACTTTCAGATCTGCAGGTACAGAGGCCTTCCGATGTGGAACAATGGCTATAACTATACTTGTCCCATAAAAGGAGTAAACAAAAGATGGATCTGGAAAGCGAAGTGATGTGTGGGGATGTGGAGGAGGCTTGGTGAGGGTGCAGCGTGGGTTGGGGAGGGTGCGCACCCCAGCGACTTGTAACCTTCCTTGCCAGCTTCTCCATTGACTTTCTGGGGAAGCCGTCAGGAAAGGTTGCAAATGGTGATCACATGATCATGGGGCACTGCAACCAGTTGTAAGTGCAAACTGTTTACCAAGTGCCCAGATAGCGATCATGTGACCACAGGGGTGCTGGGACAGCTGTAATTCCAAGGACTGATCATAACCACCATTTGTTCAGCACCGTCATAACTTCAAACAGTCGCTGAACAAATGGTCATAGGTCGAGGACTACCTGTATATTAGCAAACATTTCTGATTACCAGCTTTCTGAGGATTGACAGTCAGTTCTTTCCTGCTGATGTGGACCCACATTGGGAAAACACACAGCATAATACCAGGGGTCTCCAAAACTGAGATGCTCCAAAAATATTAAGAGATACTTAGTATGATGAAGCAATCCCTTTTTTGTAAAAGCTAATCCCACTCTTTATAGTGGTTAACAAAAATGAACTGAGTCACACAATTTATTTCAATTTTTCATTAAGCGATTGTCCAAGTTGTGACTTCAGTCTGTGTTGCTTCAACTCTTTTCAGTCAGTGGAAATGTTGTGATTTTTTGGAAGAGGAAAATAAAACTGGTTACTGTACTGGTACAGCACTTCAGAAATTTTATGTTCCCTTTTCCAATGCAGATGTTGCTAGCTGGAGAGAAGGTGGAGGCAGAAGTTTAAACTCCCCAAACTCTCCAACTGATCAAGAAGCAAAACCTCTTATTCAAGAAGATGGTAATGTGCCTGGACCAACAGAACAAAGTGATGTCCTTAAGATAACAGAAAAGAAGGATATACGAATAGCACAGCCTCCCCCACCCAAGATGAATGGCCAGCAGCAGCAGACAGGGATCCTTCCTCAATATAGAGGAATGATACCACCATATGTAAGTCAGAGATCAAATTCTTGCAAAATTTCTTTCACTTGCAGGGGTCATGTTATAAAGAAAGTGGAATGTGGAGGACAAATGGTTCCTATAGAGCAGATAGCCGTATGGCTTGTTTGCTAGTAAGTCTCTCCCATTTCTGGCATGGATTTAGATTATATTTAAGCACTAGAGAAGGTAAAGCAATAACAAGCTTTTTTTAAGAACCTTACAAAACATAAAAGTTTTGAGAAAGAATTCTTACAGCCTTAGGATTCAAAAGCTACCTATTGGTGTGTTATCAGATTAATTGAAACAGGAACACCATCTGGGGCATGCATGAAACCAAAAAAAATCCCTTTATTTCCCCCCGGAATGGAGTACCTCCCCCCCCCAAACATTCTAAGTTAGGTCATTCCAAGGAAAGAAAACTCAAAATAGTTTCAGTACTGTTTTTTTCTTGAAACAAAACTCAAAACTTTTCAAGTGTTTTGGTCATCACAAATAATGGGAAATCAGAACAAGTCCCTTGCTCCCCTATTTTTTACCCCAGGGCCACTAGTATAGATAGATGCTGATTGCTATCATTTAACCAAGTAGAAGAAGGAAAAAATAAAAATAATAAAAACATATAGTGGTACCTCGGTTCACGAACGCTTCTGTTCACGAACAATTCGGTTCACGAACAGCTCCGTTCGGAAAATTTTGCCTCCGTTCGTGAACGCCGGATCAGGTTATGAACAGAATCTGCGGCCATTTTCCCTCCCGTGACACATCGCGGCTTCCTGTAGGGAGGGGGACTCTCCCTCCAAGCAATATCCTTCTCCCCACCCGCCTTCCTGTCCTCCACGCCAGAAGTTGCATCAAGCAAAGTTAGCTTTCTCTCTCTTCATGCTGTACTTTGTGTCATATTTTTGCAGTTTTAAAAAAAAAAACATGGTTCAGAACGGATTAACCGTAATTACATTGAACCTTATGGGGAAATTTGATTCGGTTCAGGACCAATTCGGTTCGCGACCAGAGTCACGGAATGAATTAAGTTCGTGAACCGAGGTACCACTGTACCTTGAAGTCCCAAATAGCTTTGATAGAAGAGAAAATTCAACATTCTTACTGCAGACCAACCAAAAGAACAAAAAACTAATCTTCAATTAGCAGTTATTTAGTTGTTGTTTAGTCATTAAGTCGTGTCCGACTCTTCGTGACCCCATGAACCATATTGCG